CAGCTGCCCACCTCCACTGTAAACAGTTTTGGCAGGGCACTGCTTCCCCTCCTGAGGCGCCGGATGGTTTGCCAGAATTTCTTCAAGGCCGACCGATAGTCCTTCTTCTTGGCCTCACCAAACTCTTCCCAGGGTGAACAGTGTGTTGAAAACATACTTAACAAGCATTAACATTCAAATAAAATACTAGTCAAGTGTTTACAATTGAATTCAGTGGTTAAGTGTATCTAAAGTGAAATGGCAGTGTACACAACATTAAAAAGTGATGCTTATAAAAAAAAAAGTATGCTCTGGGCTGTTCATGAAAATTTCAAACACCAAAAAAAAAATAATAACAATAAGGGTTTGGGAAAGATCCTGGCTCCACTATAGAGAAGGTGAAGGCACATCATGCAAGGCTGAATGCTGGGACAGGGGGGAATCATCATACACTGTCAACTGCAAAACCTGAAGTTAGTGGTGCCAAAGCAACACGCTCATCCTCTCGCCTTGACAGTGAGACCATGTGCATTGGTGGTCCTGGTTTGTGGTGACACATGGTGCTGGACATCCTGACGTCAGCAGAATGAAAGTATAGGAGAGAAAGATGATGGTGCAGGGCAGTGCATAACAAAAGGTGAACAGGGAGACAATGTAAGACAAAGCTGAAAGCATGCCAGTCAATGCAGCAGGTGGTGCTGTAAGGTTCAGGACTGTAATGTCTCCACTGTGCCAACGGCCCTACAGCAAACAGGGATGTGTAACACCACACTCCAACCACCAGGAGGTGGGCATGTGACAAGGAGAACTTGTTACCTGAGTGAACAGGAGAAAGAAAGAGATGCTTTGCAGTTATTGTGGCTGTGTTTTTTCCCTCATGCTGTTCAGCTTTGTGAATGGCAATATTATGCTAATCATTTTAGATAATTATCTGCTCACCATGGTTAGAGTCAGACTGGCTGAACGGTCACGCTGTTGTTATCATGGCCATGAGCCTGGCTGAGCAACTCTTCTGTTCAGCTGTAATTTATTTGACACCTGTGAGACAGTGACATTGACCTGAAGATGATGATGTGGCGGTAGACCATATATCACATGCAGATGTGGTTTACATACCCGATTATTTGATTTTTGATTCACATTTTTGCCTCATCCTGTCCTTCCCTGACCCATTTGCCCAAGGTTGCTGTCTCTCTGGAGACACCATGACTGTAATTTACTAGGGAAAAGATTTGAATTAATCTATCTGCAGTTTACTGTGGTTGTCAGCATCACAAGAAATCTGTAAGTTTGTGATAAGCTTCCTTATTGCACTTCATGAAAGTCCTGAGAATCACGTGATGCCTCTCTGTGTAGACAGAGGCGATTAAACAACCATTTAAAGGCTGACAGGCATGTCAGGGTGTTTGAGTGCAACAAGAAAATAACCACATGCATGAGCTCATAAGCAGTGACAGGTACACTGTCAGTGTGTTTGCCCTGGTGCCAGAGATGGGCAGAGATAGTATCTGAACCTTGGCTGAATGCACTTCAGTAAATATCCTTTCAGCACAACCAGATTTTAGTCAGAATCAGAAAACAATCAAAACTATCAGACCATTGCACAGAAAAGTAAAGACAGAAAAACAGAACACTCTTTGAGAGTCATGTTAGCTTCTTTATCTCCTAATCATTTCTAATCAAATCAAAAATCAAATCAAATTTTATTTGTATAGCGCCAAATCACAACAAAAGTCATCTCAGGACACTTTACAAACTAAGGTTTAGACCTTACTGTTATCAATATTATTACATAGGGAAAACCCAACAAATCCCCCTTCTAGTGACCACTGAAAGCAACAATAAAATTTGGAGAAACAAATGCATCATCAGACCACCAGGAGCCCCCCCACCGTGCTGCTTACTTTTCAGGGAAGAATGACTTGTCCTCAGTTAAACTCATGGAGGCCAGGTGGAGAGCAGAGCACAGAGGAGGGGAGCTTGGCCAGCCACTGAGATGGAGAAAGAGGGGTTGGGGAGAGAGAAAGAGAGGAGCACTGGTCTGGTTTCAGGCTCACACTGAAGGTAAGGTATCCCCCTTCTCTTCTGTGACACACACACATCTGGCCAGGTGGAAATGCACTCACTCCCTCATAAAGCATAAGCACTCATTATCATTGTGGAGATGCACAGAGCTTCGCTGATGTAGAATGAAAAGCCCACAGTGACAACAGGCCAGGGAGAAGAGGAGAGAAAGAGAGAAATAGGCAAGCTCTGAGTATTACTGATGATTCAAAGTACCACTCCCCACCCCACTTCCTCTATATATACATCATAACTCATTACTTTCTCACTATACTTATACTGATTTGTTTCTACACTTTGGGCTATTCACTTTCTTTACACGTGAATCATGCATGTGAGGTGAGTTTTCCCAAATTGCTTTTCACAGTTCACTCTTACACAACACACATATATACAGTCAATCCTAAGAGTGGAGGAGAGAAAACTGACTGTTGATGATACAAGTATATGAGTGGCTGTCAAGGTGGATTTTAAATCATTTACAGGATTTCTTTCTGAATATAATTTAGGGCTGGTGTTACTGAGACACCAGAAAGGCCCCTAATAAAGTTTTTATATATCTAACACCTCTTGTGAAACATCTATTAACAAAGAAAACATGAACAGCAAAGAAACACTTGGAAACCACTTTATTGGATTGCCTGAAAATCCTTGAAATTAAACCTTGAAATACCTTGAAATAAAATCATATAGACTTGTATCTTGAAATGGCAACATTTTATGCAGGATTACAATTAGATTAGAGAATAACACTCGAGAACCGAAACCATATAAAACATAATATCTTGGTACTTTCAGTCTAGACAAAGAAAATCAGCTCAATAAAACATGTAAACATTGTTAAACAGCTGTTCATATAAACATTTTTGTAAGCTTTGCAGTCAATCACTGATGTTCTAAATAAAGGACCATTACAACAAACATTTCATCTTAGCACCTTTATCATATAGTTTCAAGATTCTGTGTTGAGTGCAGTTGTATGTAGCTGCCATTTTCATTTCGTACTGTAAGCTCACGAGAACCATCTTTATTTCAGTGCAGGTTTAAAACCTTTGTATTTTACAATTCAAATAATAAGATGGAGTTTTTTTTTACTTTTCACCTTTTAAAAAAAAATACTGTCCTTATAAATTGAATTAATTCAAAGAGAAGGTGTCCCCTCGTCTTGGCTCTGCCTCCCGCTCTAAACTCTGTTGTGTTGGCTCTACTTTGGAGGTGCAGTTTCTGAGTTCTCCTCTCAGTTCTGTCAGCTGCTGAGCATGGCTGGAGAGAGTGCCATTTACTTGCAGAAGAAACCCGCTTGATTGTCTCTCCAACTCCTCTCTGATTCGTTCCAGGTCCTCTGCCAAGTAATTTAGGCCCTTACACTGATCCTCCACACTGGCAACTCGCCCCCCAACCTTGGTTACCTCTTTCTGGACCCCCATAGCTGTGCTCCGGCAGACCCGAACCTCCTCTGCTAGCTGCCTTTTCATCTCCTGCAGCTCACCCCTAAGTCGGGTCATTCTGCGCTCACCTGCCCCGAGCATGAAAGCCTGATGCCCAACCAGCTGGACCACACCCTTTATCTGCTGGGCCAGACGAGCTTCTCTCTCATGCCAGGTGCTGTTGGCTTGACCCACCTGGTGGACAGCTTTCCTCACGGAGTCCTGGAGGCCCCTTAACATGTGATCAGTTGAGGTGACATTAAACTTGAGAAATTTGAGTTCTCCTTCTGTTGCCTCCTGCTGTTCCCTGAGGGTCAGGCGTCTCAGGATGTTCTGCAGTGTGACATTGAGGCTGTTCAAACGGTCATCTTGCACATCCAGTGCCTCCTTCACAATCTGCTCCTCTGCCAGGTTAGCACTTGGCCCAGCCCAGTCTGCCTGGGTGGCAGATAGATTTTGAGTTGTAGAACGGGAAGAAGAGCAGAGAATCTCAAGGCTGTTCAGATGCTTTTGCACTCTGTCCACATCCACCTCTAGTTTCCCTCGGAGAGACTCCAGCTGTGTCTCCAAAGTGGGAACAGCATGACCCTCCAGCAGCGAGGGGACACTGGCATTTCCTAGCTCCTCCAAAGCCATCAGTAAGCGGCCCTCCAGAACCCTTAGTTTCTCATCTATTCTGGCCTCCAGGCTCGGTCCTGTTTGCCCAGTCAGGTTCAGCTTGGCCTCTACATAATCCAGACGCCCCGCCAACATTCCCTCTATGTGGTCCTTGTGCCTACCCAGTTCCACTCTCAGGTGTCCCTGGGACTGGTTGAGGCCTGCCACTGATGTTTCTAACAGCTGCACCCTTTCAACTAGTCCGCTCACTCTACCACAGCAGGTCTCTGTAGTCTCTAAATCACGGAGCTGTGCCTGGAGGTTTCGCAGCTGTGTTCTCAAGTCAGTGGTACTTTCCTGCAGAGCATCTTCCATCTGCTCCTGCCTCTCACCTTGCTCCCTCTGGCACTGACGATGCACATCCCCAGCTCTCTCCTCACATCGGTCCTCGGCACTCTCCATGCGCTTCTCAAACCCACCAAGAATTTCTGTCCTGGCTGCATTCAGTCTGGCATCCATCAGTTTTTCTATAGCACTTTGGCCAAACCCAGTGGCAGGCGATGCCCCTCCCTCTTTATGCAGCATCTTCTTCAGAGCTCCATCATGTCCTGTCACTGCTGCTTTGAGGTCCTGCAGCTCGGCAGTCTTGGCTTGCAGCTCTGACCTGAGCTCTTCTACCCTTCCATTCAGTTCTGAAAGACTTGGAAAGACATGTCTGCCATCTAGGCTCTCCATCTCAGGGTGTCCCATAGGAATCTCTACAAACCCTACAGCGGATGGACTAGAGACTACAGCTGGAGCGGGAAGAGGACCAGGGGCAGCAGAGAGTAGAGCTGACAGCATCCTGTTGGCATCTTCTTTCAGTGAGGCTCGAAGACTCTCCTCCAGTCCATTCACAGTTCCCCTCAGGGTCTCCAGACCCTGGTTTAGATGTCGTACATCCTCCTCTATTTGATATATTCGTTCCTCTGTCTCACTATTTAGAGCCTGACCTAAAGAGAGAAGGAAAACGTGTTAACATTAGGAAAAATACAACAACCCTTTGTGCCTGTGTGTGACTGCTGTTTGAATTGGGGTCAAATTAATAAGAAAAATCTGTGTCAGTCTGTCATTGCCCAAATCATTTCTAATGCTTTGTGAGAAAAAGGTTCTGTCACTTATCCAGTGTTAGAATTAGTGTGGAGTTCAGTGTTAGGACACACCTGTGGTCTCAACCTCACGCTGTTCCCCACCAGAGAATGGAGGATGGATTTCCTCTGGCATTTGTTCCTCTGGTCCTTGACTTTGCTCATGTTCCTGGTTGTGCTCAGTGCGGGGTGGCTCCTGGTGGTCTGGCATTGCATCTAGCTCAGACGGATAAGGCTCAAAGGACACATCTGAGTAGGAGGAGGACCTTGGAGGCCCAAAGTAATGCAATGGGTATGTGTTAAAACTGCTAGTGGGTTGACTCCATGGGTTGGCTTTCACATCTGGGTTAACTGGTTGAGCCTTGAACATGGGACCTTTAAGCATGGGGCGTTTGTATTGTGGGCCCTTAAACTGTGGACCTTTTATTGGTGGGCCCTTGAATGGTGGCAGCATTTTCATGGGGTAAAGTCTTGGTCCTTCCATACAGTCATATCCAGAGTACCCAGGGCAACAACGCCACTCAAGCTCTGTGACCATTTTATGTGCCACCTTGTAGACTGGTTTGTACAGCTGACGATACCTGAGAAGAACAACCAACTATTAGTCTGGATTATACTTGATGACAGAATTTTGCACCCTGAAGCATTATGATCCAAATTGTATTTTATGATAAGGCAGATCATGAGTTAAATGTCAACAAGACACAATAAGGGTTGTTGTTTACTCACAGCAGAGTTGGACATTTTGTATTCCAGGAACACCTGTTGTACTCAGCTTTTACATAAGGGGCTGCCCCATCCTGCACAGTGAAGGAAACTGTCTTCTCGACAACATATGCACAGTGGTTCCTGTGAGGAGGAGAGAAAAAAAAACGACAGAATGTGGACACATATGTAAATATCATTTCTAGTTGGCTTCAAAATATAAGATTTTGTCAACCAAAGCAAAAGAGCACAAGACAGACAGGCAGAACTTACTTGTGTCTGCTAGTGGGTTTCCTTTGGTCCTGGTTTTGACTGAGCCCAGCATTATACTGGTTAAAGTGGAATGGTCTGTAGAACTTGGTTTCAACCAGTGACAAAAATAGAGCCATGAACAAAAAAGGACTCGGAGCCATCACAAAATGCATTCCTGAATATCCACACGTCAAAGCTTAGTGAACAAAGTCTTCAAACTGACGTAAAGGTGATCCCACAGAAGAAGAGATTATTCCTCCATCAAGGGCAAGTAATGCCCTAAATGCTCCACTTCGTTCACTTGATATGGAAATGAATGAATCATCAGCCCTGTGACAAAACAAGAATACTCAAAAAACACAATTTTTTTTAACATTAGCAAAAAGACTTCAGTCTGTGGTCGTGCTACAAAGCACAGTGTCACCTTGTGAATGCTGACGCTGGCTCTGGGTGTGGTAAACTCTGTCAGGGTGACAACAGTCCACTGTGAGTTTGGCGGACTACACACGCCACTAATAGGGCTCCACTGGGACCATCTGCATATCCCCTCCCACTCAGCCTCCTCACCAGTAGCACCAGCATGACACTGGGGGAGAGAGGAGAGCCCTCACCTTCACAACTACAGTGGTAGTATTTCTGTAGCACTCTACTTTATAGAAACTCTCATAAGCTGTGACATCACGGAAAATCAGTGGCACCTCAGGAGCATCAACACCAGGTCTTTACCAAAATAACCATTTTTAGTGTAATGGTGAAAATAAAAAACAATCCAAGATGATAAGTGGATATAGTTCACAGCTATTTATTTGTTCTTCAGAGTGTGAAGAACAGTTACCCTGTATTTTGTAAAGGCTTTAAATGTATATGCCTTTTTCCACATAAGTCATTTTGACATGTCACAGAAGGAAAAGCATGGGTGTAGTAATAAAAAATTAATGATAGGTGAATTTCATTTATCTCCTTTGCTTTCAGCGTCCGTGCTGGCTCACTGTCACACTGACAAGGCCTACTGGGACACGACACACCAAAATGTCCAAACCTGGCCAACGCTGTGAATAAATGAATAAAGTTACAAACAACATTCATCAATAGTAGTTTTATATGCCAGTGCTCCCCATCACCCTTTTACTACTTTACTAATACCTCATATACTACCGGGTAGCATAACCTATAAAAATATATCAAATTATATTAGTTGATTATTTGAATCTGCAAATTAACTAATAACTAAAGTTGTGAAATAAATGTAGTGGAGTAAAAAAGTACCTCATTTGCCTCCTGGAGTAGAAGTATGAAGTGAAATAAAATGGAAATACTCAACTAGATACTCAAGGTATACACAAGTAAATATACTTAGTAACACTCCACCACTGCTAAGGTGATGTCTTCAAATGTCAGACCATCCATCAGTACAGAACCAAAGAATATTCACTTTAATTCTTATCGATAGAAAAGAGGAAAGCAGCAACACTTGAGAAGCTGAATCCAGAAAATTAAATTAAACAATTCACGCAGTAAAATACATAAAAACAAATGATCAAATATTGTATGAAGTTCATATTGACCTTTTTTATAAGTGTGATGATCCTGCTGGAGTCATTTGAGCTCCAAAGTGAAATCTGTGAAACACCTTGGGGTCTTTTACTTCACACATGCACAGTGCCACAGTCTAAACACAGACCTAACAGCAAACCTACAGGAACAATAAAACAAATACCCTGTGTTGAAGGCAGTACACACCCTGCACAAGCCCACACATTCATTCACAACACAAGTCTTTGTACAGCTGAGTAAGTTCACCGCCCTGGGTGTGGAAGCCTGGCAGCCACTGCTAGGACACTTTCCACTTAAAGTTAAACATTTTAGCTGCATGTATTCAACACAATCAGTTTAATGGAACTGTTTTGGACCTAAGGGTCGAAATCAAAACCCCAGATATGACGCCCAGGACCTCCTTATTAAATACAATATTAAGGTGCTGAATATTTATTTATCTGTCTACATTTCACAGAGACATATTTTTTACTTTTTAATCCACTACATTTATCTGACAGCTGGAGCTGCTAGTTACTTTTCAAATTAAGATTTTACACAACAACAACAACAACAACGGCACAGATGATTAAATACAGTACATTGCTAACGATTACCATGTTTATTCATGGCCCCTTACAAAAAAGAGCAGTGTGTCATCGAGGGCTCCTTGTGAAACTTCAGGTGTTTTTACAGGAAGTCTGCACTTCCACCAGACACATTTTCTCTAAACTTCTCAAATACTAGTAAAATTATCCAATATTTTAAATAAGCAAAAAATCAGAGAAGTGAGAAAAATATTTTCTTTCTTCTGCCATGAATCATTTTACAACCCATCAGATTTATCTTGACTGGCATCTGGGTTGGGAACCACTGGCCCAGCTACCTACTGTAACAGTACATATACATGACCACGGAGTCTATTCGGAAAGCAACATGTGCTATGACTGGTCACATTTGGTCCGCAGCTTGTCTCTGTTTTGAAGTCTTCCCTTTTCCACCATTCAAACTTTCCTTCCATTCAATTCCAGCTCAGTTAAAATCACTACAATCCATTTATTTACCACCACTTCTGGGTACTAGGATTTTGTAGAGATCTTTGTAGAACAAGTTAAGAATTCAGCTCTTTTTCCGATATCTCTGTTTTGTTCCAGGTGCATGCAGGTATACATGAGAAAAGAGTTTTTAATTTCAAAACAAGTAGAGCATTGTTTCAGTGAGGTGTGAGGGTCCCAGCACTTTGAGCTACATGTCTATGTAGGGACCACCGTTTAAGCCACATGTTGAAAAGGTTTTGCTGTGACCATTGTAATGTAACTTCACTTTAACAAGACTTGCACTGTGCCCATTACTTGTGATCGACCCTTTTTTAGAAGCAGGCCCCTTTCCTGTATCCTGTTTGTACCAGGCCCCAGCTTGTTCACCTGGAAACACCCTGTTCAGAGCAGTGTGTGTTAACATATTCTCAGTGAGCTCTTTTACTCCTTGATTTGTAAACAAGCTCTCATTGTATCACATAAAATATGCTGTAGAGTGCACAGGCTCGGACTTTCTGCCCCTGTGAAACAAGCACAGCCTTATTCTGCAGGCCTGTGGTGGCTCCACCCAGTTTCCCTTTAATGGCGTCACACGTTTACAACTGTTTTAGCCTCCATTCATCTGCCTGTCATAACACTTATAATCTGTTCATGTACGTCTGCCGTTCATTCCAAAAGGGGGTGAGCCTGTCTGCTCATGATAAGAGTGGGGAACACCATATATATGTCTTTGAACATTTGTGCAACATATAGATTTTTGTTTATCCTTTTTTTTTGTTTTGTTTTGTGACTCTTGTGTTTTAACACCAGCGGTCAACATTCTGAGCTGGTCTGTGAATCTCTTTATGTGTTTTTGGTTTTTGAGTCTTACTGGACTGTGTGGCTTTTGCAGTGCTCTCCCAACAGCACGGGCTCATATAATATTTACATACCATTTTCAGCATTTGTTTGAACTTGCATGGATTAACAAATGAGCTGGAACATGAGCTTGAAAGGTTTATATATTTTTTAATAGGTTCTACTGTAAGAGCCTGAGAAATCCTTAATCTGAACACTGTGCGACCCAAATTATATGAATGTCTGAATCCTGTATGTTCATTTATTAGTAGCTGTAACCTGACAGGGAGAAAGTGCACCATGCATTTGTGCATTAGTTCATGTCCAGGTTTCTTCATCAGATTACCTATAGGAGAGTTCAAGAGGAAATTAAATTAAATGTAGATCTGGACTGTCAGATTTGCACCACTAGTTGTTTGCTTTAGAGCAGCCTGTATCCGCTCCTGAATATTCACAGCCAAGCTAAACAACAAACAAGAGTAATTGGACATCACGCTGAGTTCAGTGTGTTTACTGTTGACAGACTCATGGTAGTGCGTACACATCTGGAGACAGCCAACACACGCACAGCAACATGCCTCCATAAGTATAGTTTGTGCTGCAAAACCCTTATTGTTTTCAAAGTGGCTTTTTTGAAGTGTTAAAGATTTTTTTCTGCCATGATCCTTTTTGTGTTTTCTTTTGTTCTTGATAAATTCCTAAATGCTTTTCCTCAAATATGCAGTTCAACTTTTTTAACAGTTGCCTAAAGACACCTCCCAGTGCTGACTTTACTTTTTATTTTTTTAAATCATTTATTTTATTGTTTGGTCCACATTTTGCAAAATGTCTAAATTAATTTCTTACTAAATTAAGCCACTAGGTCAAAGTCAAAGTGTTTATTTGTCATATACACAGTTAGGAAACACGTTTCCCTGTACAATGAAATTCTTACTTCTTACGTCCACATGAATGCCACAAAATACAAATGAAATATAAAGTAGATAAATAAGTAACACAAAATCTAAAGCACTTTAAGCAGCAAGTGCAGCAATATAATAAAAATATATAAGAATATAAGAAGAGAATGTATGCTGCATGGGAGCAAAACCTTTTGACTCCCCAGTCCATATATCCCATACATATATATTGTTTACATCCTCTCTGAACTTGTTGTATGTTGCTATATAACCAACTGTAAAAGGCTTTTAAATTTGATAGGGAACAATACTGTCACAGCACCATCATGGAGGACAGTGTGTCAACACTGCCCCCTTGTGTCGACTATTCATGTAAATGGAAAACCGGCCACCAGAGTTTGTATCCTCCTCCTGCCAAATGGGTAAAGGTATTAGCAGAGAATAGCATCACATTAGAATATGTTTAATGATATATGCTTAATGTTTTTATTGTTTGGACTAAAAATAATACAATCAACAAGTTTCTGGTTCAGTGTGTAATGACCATGAAAACAACTGAGAAGACATCCTTAGTTAATAAACATTAAAACTAAAGGCAGCTGATCAGCCCCTGCAAAGCAGCAGGACCCTACAACATCCCTGGGAGGGCTCTCAGGGCATGTGCCAGTGAGCTGGCTGATGTTCTCACCACCATCTTCAACCTCTCCCTCAGCCAGAGCATCGTTCCCACCTGCTTTAAGACCACAACCATTGTCCCCCTTCCCAAGAAGAGCCCGGTCACCTGCCTGAATGACTACAGGCCAGTGGCACTCACCCCAATTATTATGAAGTGTTTTGAGAGAGTGGTGCTGGCCCGCATTCAGAGCAGTATACTGGACCTCTGGACCCCCTGCAGTATGCCTACTGGCCCAGTAGGGCCACCTCAGATGCCATCGGGGCTGCCCTCCACTATTCCCTTTCTCACCTGGAAAATGGAGACTTCTACATCAGGATACTTTTCATTGACTACAGCTCCACCTTCAACACAGTTCTCCCCCACAAACTCACCCACAATTTGCCCACACTGGGTCTGCACCCCACCCTCTATGACTGGGTCCTGGACTTTGACATTGGCAACAGGACTTCAGCCAGCATTGTTACAAACACTGGCACCCCACAGGGATGTGTCCTCAGTCCCATCCTCTACACCCTGTTCACCCACGACTGTGTCACCTCCCACAAAGACAACATCATCCTGAAGTTCACGGACGACACTGCAGTGATAGATCGCATCACTGGCAGGGACGAAGCGGCCTACAGGAGGGAGGTGGCCGGTCTGGTGTCTTGGTGCAAGGACAATAATCTCAGCCTCA